GAAGGGAAGGCAGTGGATGTAGTTTTTCTGGATTTTAGTAAGGCTTTTGATACTGTCCCTCACAGCATCTTTCTGGACAAGTTTTCCAGCTGTGGGATGAGCAGGTACGTGGTGTGCTGGGTAAAGAACTGGCTGAACGGCCAGGTGCAAAGGGTTGCAGTGAATGGGGCTACATCTGGCTGGTGACCAGTCACCAGTGATGTTCCTCAGGGCTCAATCCTAGGACCAGTTCTGTTCAATATTTTTATCAATGATCTGGAGGTAGGAGTTGAATGCACCATTAGCAGGTTTTCTGATGCTACTAACCTGGGAGCTGCTGTTACCCTCTTGAGGGACAAGAGGCCTTGCAGAGGGATCTAAGTAGATTGGAGCATTGGGCAGTCACCAATGGCATGAAACTGAACAAGAACAAATGCCAGATTCTGCGCCTGGGATGGAGTAATGCTGGGCACAAGTATAAATTGGGAGAGGAGTGGCTGGAGAGCAGCCCTGCAGAAAGGGATCTGGGGGTGCTGGCTGACAGCAGGCTCAATGTGAGTCAGCAGTGTGCCCTGGCAGCCAAGAGGGCAAACCACATCCTGGGGAGCATCAAACACAGCATAACCAGCCCATCAAGAAGTGATTATCCCGCTGTATTCAGCGTTGGTGCGGCCTCACCTTGAGTACTGTGTGCAGTTCTGGGCCTCACAATTTAAGTAGGATGTGAAGGTCCTTGAATGCATCCAGAGGAGGGCAGCAAAGCTGGTGAAGGGGCTGGAAGGCATGTCCTCTGAGGAGTGGCTGAGGACACTGGATTTGTCTAGCTCGGAGAGATGGAGGCTGAGGGGCAACCTCATCATTGCTCTACAGCTTCCAGAGGAGGGGAAGTGGAGAGGGAGGTGCTGAGCTCTTCTTCCTGGGATCCAGTGCCAGGACGCGTGGGAATGGCTCAAAGCTGTGTCCCTCACGGGAGGTCCAGACTTGACGTGAGGAAACATTTCTTTACCAAGAGGGTAAAAAATCCATGGGGAAATGAACAGGTATTGTTCACCTCAAAAAGATTTGCAGCATTTAGTTCTGGAGCACTTCCTGCTTCAGACTGAGGTCTTGATCTTTGGGTCTTGCTAGTGTCAGAGGTGTGGGGTTTTTGCCATCCTGTGGAAACCCAGCTAAACTGGATTAACAGAGAAGACTTTCAAAAACCACAGTTCACACATGCTTTTTGAAAATTTGTTCAGGTGGTCACATTATCTCAAGATGACCCACAGCTCGACCCACAGCTCTCACCCCCATCAGAAGGTACATGCCTCCTTCCCACAGTGACAGAGCCAATGCCTAGACTGGGACGTGGTTACCCATTCGATCCCTTCTGCTAGTGCAGGGCTGGGAAGAAATGTCATCAGAGATTACCTCAGCATGTACTTCTAGGGAATGGAGGAGGTAGGAACAAGAATAGAATAGAATAGAATAGAATGGACAGAAGGGAATAGGATAGGATAGGATAGAATAGAACAGAATATTTCAGCTGGAAGGGACCTACAACGATCACCTAGTCCAACTGCCTGACCACTTCAGGGCTGACCGAAAGATAAAGCATGGTATTAAGGCCATTGTCCAAATGCCTCTTAAACACTGACAGGCCTGGGGCATTGACCACCTCTCCAGGAAGCCTGTTCCAGGGTTTGAGCACCCTCTTGGTAAAGAAATGTTTCCTCATGTCAAGTCTGGACCTCCTGTGAGGGACGCAGCTTTGAGCCATTCCCACGCGTTCTGGCACTGGATCCCAGGGAGAAGAGCTCAGCACCTGCCTCTCCACTTCACCTCCTCTGGAAGCTGTAGAGCAATGATGAGGTCACCCCTCAGCCTCCATCTCTCCAAACAAACCCAGTGTCCTCAGCCGCTCCTCAGAGGACATGCCTTCCAGCCCCTTCACCAGCTTTGTTGCCTTCCTCTGGATGCATTCAAGGACCTTCACATCCTACTTAAATTGTGGGGCCCAACTGACAGGATTGCATTCCCGTACTGTGTTCCCCCACAGTATGGGAATGCAGTTAGTACAGCTATAGTGAATTGTTTCAGGATGTGCTACTTCAGCATTCATTTGCCTTGTGCGGCCCTTTGCAGAGGGGAAAGCATGGTCTTAAAATGTACTGGTTCCCAATTTCTTTAGAAGAGTAACTCAAAGCACAGGTTTTAGCTTATAAATCCCGTGTCGTTTGAAATCCTTGCTACTTGAAGACTGTCGTTTTCCTAAAAGCCCTCTGCACAGGGGGCACTCCTGGCAAGGGGATCATCTCTAGCCTCACTCTGCCTGCTAATCCACCAGATCCACGTTTGCACATGCAAGGGCCTGTCTCATCACTGAGCTTGCGTCAAAATGTTGAGATTCTTAACTGAATAGACATGTGTCGTGATTTAGCCCCAGCCAGCAACTAAGCACCACGCAGCCGCTCGCTCACTCCCCCGCCCCGGTGGGATGGGGGAAGAGAATCGGAGGAGTAAGAGTGAGAAACACTCCTGGGTTGAGATAAG